ATCATTTTATTGGGGGGGTCGTACACCTCTTGTCAAAATCCATATATACATCCATTGTGTCAAGCACATTTGTACATATGTTGTCATCATCATTTTCAAAACATTTTCTCTCCACTTGAATCCTTGGTATCAGTTCATTTCCCACCCACCCCCTCCTTCATGTACCCTTGATAATTTATAATTTTTTTCATGTCTTATATTTTCTTTCTACTTGAGCCCTTGGTATCAGCTCCTCATTTTTTCCCTCCTCCTTCCCTCCCTCCCTCATGAACCTTTGATAATTTATAAATTATGTTTTTCATGTCTTACACTGACCAATGTCTCCCTTCACCCACTTTTCTGTTGTCCGTCCCCATGGGTGGGGGTTATATGTAGATCATTGTGATTGGTTCCCTCCACCTTACCCTTACCCTCCTGGTATCACTACTCTCATTATTGGTCCTGAGGGGAAACTTCATTTTCTTAAAAAAAAACAAACTTTCCTCCACTTATTTCACTAGTCATATGACAGTAAATTCAATTACTTATAATAATCTCTACAGCTTTAGGAGGGGGAAAAACCTGAAAATTCTCCATAGGCAATGGACTCAACTGGTGTGAGCCAAAGGAAGTGATCAGTGCAAAGTTCCTCAATGTGTCTTACAGAGGAAATGAGGTATTGTTGGTCAATCGCACTTTTAGGTCCCTTATTAAGGGCAAACTAAATGCTCATTTTCTGAAGCACTGTTAGCACTAGACTTAATACTTGATAGGAAAGTAAATAGTTAACTTAGAGTGAAACTGCTGTCCACCAATGGCTGGAACAAGGGTGGCAAAGGTGGATGAGCGCAGGACGCCAGGAGCACATGTTATCCTTCTATGCTATCACTGACTGGTTTTGCTGATTATCTTTTTCCCCCTGTCTCTCCATGACCACATTACTCAAAGGCTGAGGTACTGCTGATGATTAGGATTATGGTGAGGGTCTTAAACTCAAAGGCTCAAAGAGTCAAACAGCATCTGTTGAGGGCCATTTAGATTGGTTCTGCCTTTGGGCTACTGTAAATAGTGTTGCAATGAACACTGATAGTCACATATATTTTTTGAGGCTCTACTCTCAAGACTTTTGGATCCTGAGAGTGAAATTGATAGACTAAAGTCTCCATTGAAGGCCTGAAAGGAAAAAGACAAGGAAGGAACGTAGAAAAAATTGCTTACAAACATCTCATTTCTTGTGAAGTGTATGCACTACTGGAATGTCTCAAGGAGCCAGAGGTCATCTCACCACCCTTCATGCTGCCCAGACTCATGCTCTAAAGAAACCGGGGCAATCACCACACAAAAATCCCAGTACATTGGTAACTGTAGTACCCAGGGTTATAATTCTAAAACCACCTCAGAGAATACCTTTTATCATTTAGGAATTCCTGACAATGAACATCTGTGTAAACCTGTGTTAATATAAAACAGGAGAAAACAAAAATTGGTGATAAGGACGTCTATCTTTCTCACATATCTCCAACAACACATCTCTGTTGTGCAGTGCTCCCTCTAAGGGTCATAAAACCGTATTGCTAACAGTTATTTTAAAACACAGAAAAAGGCATGATTCTAAGTATGTTTATATATATATTCACACACAAATATATATGTAAGTAAAAAGTACTGAAACTAGGGTACCAGTTCATACATGTAAACACACATAGGTTTATTCCAAAGTATGTTTAAACATGTTTCTGGGAGCAGTAGATGGCTGCAGATAAATTCTCTCAGTAACTTGGTGGTTGGTCTTAGTTTCCATAGAAACAAAAAACTAACTCACTGCCACTGAGTCAATGCCGATTCATAGTGAACCCATAGGACAGGGTAGAACTGCCCCTGTGAGTTTCCAAGACTGTTACTCTTTATGGGGGTAGAAAGCCTCGTCTTTCTCAGGTGAAGTAGCTGATGGTTTCCAATTGAGGGCCTTGTAATTAGCAGCCCAATATATAACTACTATGCCACCTGGGCTGCAGTCTCCACTGACGGCTTTAGGGGAAAAGGGCGCCAACAAAAAATTTGTGTTCATAGTGCAAAGAACTGATCTTTCCATTAGTCATTTAAGAAAGATGATGTTATGAAATGAATCATTAACAGGGACAAGTCTTGGATTTACCAATATAATCCAGAGAGCAGGGTCCAATCCAAACAGTGGCTATGGAGGGAGTCTACCAGGCCAGTTCCAATTCTTGGCAGACAAGACAGGTCAGGGTCTCGCAATTATTTTGTGGGACACCAAAGAGATCATCTTTATTTTTGGACAATTTTTTAAAAATGGGCGGTTTTACATTTCAGAACAGGTTTGCATTCAACAAATTTAAACTTATCAACCCCCACCCCACACTTTGAATTCTTCTCCTGGCCTATTATCTTTCCTTTGACTCAAGGGAACCCTCCAGCAGCTAGAGTCTAGCCTTTGCTTCACCTTCCCTCCCAAAGCGACAATCTTAATAGATTTTCCCCAAGGACACCAGACAGTCAACAGGGGCTTATTAGGAGGACATCGTAAGAAAACGGTTAGCTAGATTAATCGGAAGTGAGTGCTTCCTAATTGGGGTCAGGTAAATCTGAAGTTTAAGAGAAAAGGGTGGTCAGCGCTGGACAAGATGAAGATGAGATGGCTATCCCCACGTGTGCTTTTTCCCAAATGAGTTTCCTCCTCCTCCTGGCGGGCCCGCAGCGCTTGTTAAACATTGTTTTATTTACGTTCTTCGTTATTTCCCCAGGTGAAATGTCCAGTGGCGTATTTGAGCCTCTGGGTTACATTACTATGAGTGGTTGATTTAACAGTCTCCTAAAGCAGGAAAAGTTGGGAATGAGGATGCACTTTGGGGAATGGGACAGGGAGAATCCTATGGTAAAAAGAGAGACCTATCCCTCCCTGCCCCAGATCCAGTTTACGGTACCTCCAACCTCCCCGCTCCAATTGTGGATTACAAATCATGGCGACCCCATACATGTCAGAATAGAACAGGGACCTCTTAAGGTGGTCAGCGGCTGAAAACCAGGCAATTCTTCCTAGGCATCTTTGGGTGGTCACCAACCACCGTGTGGATTTAGCAACCACCAGCTTTAACAATCCCACCCCCAAGGACTCACCCAAATCTCCCTTTCCTTCCAAAGGCTCCTTAAGACGCCCGTTTCCATGTTTGCTTCCTAAACTTGCAGGTACCAACGACAGAGGCTGAACCCACGCTGGCAAGGCCTCAGAAGGAAACGCACTTCCCAGGGGCTCGGGGAAGGAACCCGGCAAGGCGCCAGCCCCACGCAGAGCGGTTTCAAAGCTGTCCCGGCGGAAAGCTACTTATAGATCCCCTTTGTTTCCTGGTTACGTGCGTGCAAGGCACCAGACACTTCACTTACAACCGCGGCTGCTTCAAGCGAGCGAGAGGGCCCGGCAAGCCGGAGTGAGACGTGTCAAACTGAGCGCGCCACAACTACCCCGACCTCCGCCCTCTGGGCTCACCCACGGTCTCCGCGCAGGCGTGCTGGGGCGCCGAGGCCCCGCCCCTAAGTGGGCGGGGAAAATTCTGCCCCGGTTGGCCAATCGGCGGGCGGCCTCCCGGGGCCGCGTCTCCGGGCGACGGGTGGCGGGTGCCGGTGTTTGTGTACGTGCGGCTGGGCAGTGCTGGGAAAGTCTTGTTGCTAAGGGCTGCGCGGCGGGGCGGGGCCGGGCCGGAGCTGGGCGCGGCGGCGATGGGCGGGACCGCAGGCCCCTCTGTATTTAATTAAAGTTCCCCTGCACGCCCGCAAGCCCGTCCGTTCTCACCTGCCTGGCCGCTGCGACTGACCTCCGCTCTGCACTCCTTGGGCTCCTGCCTCGGCTTTGGGTGGGATATGCACTTACTTGATGGCAAGCTGGAGGTGAGAATCGGGACGCTTCGGTCCTGCGGGCTTAAGCTTCTCTGCGCGAAGGTGGCAGTGGACTGACCACGAGGCGCTGCACTGTCCAGCCTCGTAGCGTAGGGAGAATTCTGGAGCCGGGGGGGCCAAGGGAGGGGGGAACCTCCTGCTCCCCACACCCTCCCTAAGAGAGGGTTCGGTACAGGACAAAGGAGGGAGAGATGCGTGGATGTGTGCTCTTCTCGCAGATGGAGAGTCTGAAGCATCTACTGGAGACGGGGACCTCCGTGAACGCTCCTTCTGACCTCGGTGAACAGTCGCTTGTCCACTTGGCTGCTGCTGGCGACTTTCCCTGCTTGCTTTTCGCGCAGCTGCAAGCGGGCGCTGACCTCAACCAGCAGGTAACTAGATAACTGATTGTTACCATGTGCTAACCCTCCGCCTCACAAATCCACACGTTTATGCGCTGAAGCGTTCAGCTGTGTGTACTGCTATAAAAGTGCCTATGGCTCTGACCCCTCGAAGTATAATGCAAAACGCCTTTGCAATTAAAACATTTCTAGGCCCGCTCCATTAATTAGATTGAATATGAAATTAACTTTAGCATTTAATCCAATTTAGAGCAATGCCAACATGTAACCAATATAAGTACAGTTTCATACTGAATCTTCTCAATCTGGTGTGCATTTTACACTTACGGGACACCTCAATTCAGATGAGCGGAGGCTCAAGTGCTCGTGAGCCAGTTTGGCTAAAGCTATCATCTCGACGGCTGGTCTACAGCCGATTTCAAAAGGAGCCGTTCCCACATTTCCAAAGCTAAAGTTTCAGTGCAGCAGGAGAAATTCTTGTGCAGGACTACAATCAGTACAATGCCATGCAGAATTTTCCAATGGTAGTCTGTGTCTTCCATTGAAAAATAAAACCTAGTGAATTTTAGGTTTTTAAAAAAAACCTATATAAGGCTCTTATAAATTCTTAAGTTTTAATGCAGGTAGATGCGGCTTCACAGTGCTTTTATTAATTGTTAGAGTAAACCAGCCTCTAACATCCATGGGGTTCTGTAGGAGCAATTGTACGATTATGATATATAAAGATCATAGTAAAGTCAGAAGATAGGAGAGAAGGTAAAATAAAGGAGTCAGACACATTTCATGGTAGCATGCTCACCTCAGCCTTTCTTGGTGGCCCACGGGGGGATGTGGGAGGAGAGGGCAGGATAGTGTCTCTTCTTTACTTCTAACCAAGGCCTATATGTACACATAGGGGCGTGATTACAGGTAACCACATACTTTACAGGAAGGGGCAGTATAATAGGCATCTATCTGCATGACAGGAAGGAGATGAGCTAAGGGTGTACATGCAATAGGAAGGGGAGGGATTAGGGGTACACATGTGACAAGATGGGCAGACCTTAGACTCAATATGGCTGCCTAACCTTGGTCATCTTTGAGTGGGCTTGGCCTTGCCTCTGGGCTCTCCTTCAAGGGAACAATCCACTACCCTTATCAGAAGGGAGTGGGTCCTACTTAGCGTGGGACAGACTATATAGTCTGATTGCGCTAGATGGCTGATAAACCTTAGGGAGAATACCTCTGACCTGCTTGCGTTGACCTCCCAAGTGTACAGTCATTTACCATGTGTAGCAAGCAGTGTCTTAGGCTTGGCATATATTTGGGGGAAACAACTTGAGAGAAATGTTTCTGTATCCTACAATTAACTATATTAAATAGCACGGTGAGGGAACTTATTAAAAACAGAAGCTTGGCTTTAAGCATTCCAACTGGCGCAGTGCAGTTCTAACTCGCTTCCTCAAATGACCAATATTGGACTTCACCCACTAATTTCCTGCCAGAACGTGTTCTAGGGGGGAGCCTCTGAAATATATTCTCTTTCCCTGAAGGATGTTTTTGGAGAAACTCCTCTACACAAGGCAGCTAAAGCTGGGAGCCTGGAATGCCTTAGGCTGCTTGTAGGCAGAGATGCCCAAATTGAGTAAGTAGAGTGGCTTCATATTTTCTTATAATCAGAATAATGAGGTTTAATTGCGCTGTAAAAAATGGTGCTGACCTGGGACATGGGCTTTGTGTCAATGTCAACTTAGGCTGATGAGGGGATATCCCGTAATGCTCAAATTAAAGGAAAAAATGGATTCCTAGCAACCAAAGATGTAATTCTGCTTCTTTATCATGGCAGCATTTCACTGAGGCTTTGGTTTAGAAACCTCTTTCTATAGAAGTTCTCACTGATTTCCTTTGGGTACTGATTCATTTTAAAAGACACCAAATGCTGTTGCATGAATTTAAATCACAAAGCTCTTTCTTTGCTGGGTTCTCTGCTGGATGCTGTGCAAAAGTCTCTGTTTCCTTTACCACCTTTCAATTCTGCAACTGCCTAGTCTGAATGAGCTCAGAACTCCTTTGTTGGGAAGACATAAAAATCACTACTCAATGACCAATTTTTATTTTTAATCTTAATTTTAGCGTATGTAATAAGAACGGGCAAACAGCTGAAGATCTTGCTTGGTCTTATGGATTTGTGGAATGTGCCAAGTTTCTTACATCGATTAAATGTATGCAGAGTGAAAAACCACATGAGCCCTCTAGCAGAGGCCACTGTGTGTCAGTG